GATATATTTAATGTTATCCCAAAAAATGTTCATCTTTTTAGGAGCAAAAGGTCAGAAGTCTGAAATATTCGAAAAGCATCTTTCAACTATGAACCTCGTTCTCTCTCAGTCTCAAATAAATAAATAAAACCCTTAAAAAAAAAAAAAAAGAAATGTAAAGTGCTAGAACTACTGGAAGTTCTTTGAAATGGAATTTCTTCAAAAAGTTAAACATAGAATTACCATGTGACCCAGCAATTCTACTTTTAGGTATGGACCCCAAAGAATTGAAAACAGGTGTTCAGATATTTGTATGCCAATATTCATAGCAGCATTATTCACAATAACCCAAAGTGGAAACAACCCAAGTGTCCATCAGTTGATGAATGAATAAATATACATCTAATGTACATGCATACAATGGTATAGTATTCAGCCATAAAATGGAATGAAATTCTAATACATGCTACAATAAGAAAGAAACTAAAACAATGTGCAGTAAATAAGCCAGACACAGAAGAACAAATGTTATGATTCCACTTGTATGAAATATCTAAATAAGCAAATTCATAGACACAGAAAGTATATTAGAGCTTACCAGGGACTGGGAGGAGGAGAAAAAGGGGTGGGGTGCTTACTGCTTAATGGATCTGGAGATTCTTTTTGGAGTGATGAGCAATTTTTGTACAACACTGTTAATGTAAATAATACCAGTGAATCGTACAATTAGCCATGGCTAAATAGCTAATTTTATATACACCTACATATTATCACAGGGGGAAAAAAACCAACGTACAGAAGAGAGCGCATCATAAATTATCTTTGGTGTTTATAATTGTATAAACACTGGAAAGATATAAGAAACTAGCATAAGTGGCTACTTAGAGTTAACATGAATATTCAGTTCATACACACTAATTAGTTTGTACTGGCTAAAATATAGGAATACTCTGTCCTGATCGGTAAGTGGCCACCCCCCAATTCCCTGAATTTCTTCTACCTCCACTCTCATCCTGGGATCCCTGATTGTCTCATGATCCAGCAAGAATTAACTCTGGCACGCAGGGCTGTAGCAGGCCAGCATAGAATGAAGTGGGATGGAGACAGGGTGGCAGGAAAACTGCACACTCAGCCTTTGGACATCCTTTTGATTGTTTGAATCATGGAAGTGTATTACCTATTTACTATAATGAAATATAAAAAATAAAAAGAGTATACCAGCTATAAAAGGCCATTAAGAGAATCTGAGCAACACAAAGGCATACTCGTAAACCATAGTAGAACAAAGAACAAGAGAGCTCAGGGAAGTGCAAGTTTTGTGGAAAGGCTTAAATATGGGGGGTCAGGGGATAGGCACAGAGGATGAAATTAGACAGGTAAACATGGGCCAGATATGAAGGAACGTTTATGTGGTATTAATTAATTCGAGCTATTTCTAGTGCCCTGATAAATCATTATTTTTTTTTAAGATTTTATTTATTTATTTGAGAGAGAGAATGAAATAGAGAGAGAGCATGAGAGGGGGGAGGGTCCGAGGGAGAAGCAGACTCCCCGCCGAGCAGGGAGCGCGATGCGGGACTCGATCCCGGGACTCCAGGATCATGACCTGAGCCGAAGGCAGTCGCCTAACCACCTGAGCCACCCAGGCGCCCAATCATTATTTTTTTAATCAAGGGAATAACCTGAACAGGTCCGTGTGTTAGAAACATAGTTCTGACAATTGTGTAGGTAATGGAGTGAAGAGGAGAGAAGCCAGGAGTGAGAGGGCTGAGATGATGAGGAAAGTGGTAACAAGATGGAAGTAAGAAGGTCACGGTCAGAAGATACTCAAGAAGAATGATCCCATGGTCTTGCTGAAAAAGTTAGCTCGGGGGTTGTTAATAAAAAAGAGCAGGAATAAATAATGACTCTAAGATTTCCAGCTTAGTTTACAAAGGGGGTGGATTATGACCTTTAAAGGGGAATTCTAAATGGGAAATTATTCAGAATTTTGATTATGTGAAATGTGAATATATTGAGATGGCAAAGATGAAGCATGACATAATGTGGATTTCAAATAAAAAGTTACTATGAAAATGGTAATGTTTTCCATTTTATTTAGGAATGACTAAGAGGAAACATGCTAAGTTCTACAGGACAAAACAGTATCTTTGTACATAAATGAAGGTCTAAACTTAAAGAGTATTATTGGAATATGATACAAAAACTATTTTGTGCTGTTTTTTACAAATTTATTTTTGACCGTGATAGCTTAGGTGTTAGACATGTAGAAAAATGACCTCCAGATACTGTCACTAATTCTAAGGATTTATATGTTTATAGAGAAATAACAGATATGATTTCTCAGAATGCCACCTAAAACTTTTCCCAATAAATGTACTTTCAAAATACCATGGCATTCTCTAGGTGTTCTCTAGTGTCTCTATTGTTTCATCAGATGAACAAGAAGAGTTTCATAAAATCTTTATGAACAAAATGACTTTTTAGAGCACTCTCTGCAAGCATTCTTCCCTCAATTCTGTATCTATCTCCAGCTACCCTCTTTCTCCCCACAGAGCTAAAGTTCTAAGAGTAGTGTGTATTCACAGTCTTCACCTTCTTACCTTACATTTATTCCTCAATCTACTTTGGCCAATATCCATAAGTGAAGTGGCTGTTGCTAAGGTCAACAGAGTCCAAACATAACTAAATTATCTCACAGGAACATTCTGTTGCATTAGCATACTTAGCCCATCCTTTTTGGAATGTTCTCTTTCTTTGATCTCTGTAACACTACACATTTCTGGCTTCCTTTATCCTTCTATGATCATTTCTTCTCAACTTCCTTTGCTGGCTTATTCTCTTCCACCCAGCCATTAGTTGCTGAATTTCTCAGGAGTTGCTCATAGCCCCTCCTCTCTCATTCCACTCTCTTCTAGAAAAGTTTACCATATCTTTGACTTCAATTTCCAACTATAGGTCAGTGATTCCACCCCACACTTTATTTCAAATCTCTAGGAATGACCTTTACTCTAGACTGCAAGCACAAATAACCAGACATTTCCCAACCTCTCAATGTAAATGTCTTAAATATACCTTAAACTAACCATGTTCAAATAATCACACTCTTAATCACTACCATCAAAAAAGATCTTTTTCCAACGTTCCTTTTAATATCTTTCATCCAAGTGCACAAGGCAGAAACTTAGTAACATTTTTAACGTTTACCTTTTACTAAATCCCATGTCCATTTCTTCACCAAAGACTGTTAATTAATTATTACGTCCTAAGTATCTCTTATATCTCTGTACTTCTTTCTATCTGTATTGTCAAACCCTAGTCTAAACCACCAACATCTCTCTCCTGGATTTTTGTAAACATTTTGTAGTATACCAACTACAGCGTTGCCCTCTATAATCTGAAAAAAAAAAAAAAAAGTACTGGATGCACAGTTTTTAGTCCACGTTATCTGTGAAGGAGGCAAAGTTAAGTCTTAAACTGGTTTCCTAAGGGCCTGTAAAAATGATGATTATTCAAATATACAACAGAAACATTTATCCACATTACATATTATCATTGGTAAACTCTATCTCCTGTTTGGATAGAGTAGGTGGCTTGGTCAAGTAGTAGAGAAAAGGTGAGTGACAAGCGCTTTTTTCATTCTGCCACATCTGCTCTGCATCTGACCTTTCAAAACCATAGTATCTGATCTGACTTTTCTCATTCAGCCTTTTCCAGATTATTCTGGGGTCATCTGAAAGCCTGGGAAAACCCTCCTGATGTGCATCTCCAATAAGGGTAAGAAAGTCTTTGGTAAAAAGGTGTTTGTCTATCTTCTCTTGGAGTAGAAATGACTCCAGTAAAGTCTTCTTCTGTCGCAGAAAGGCAGATTGGGCCAGTTCTGCTCTTTTTCTGTTGCAATGGGGACACCAAGAAGAAATGTGTTGCTTAGCTGTCACCACCTGTTTTGGTGTTGTCCTCATGTTTTTTAGGTAGATTCTGTTCAGAAGTTCATCAGGGACGGTGCAGTTTAAGGTATCCTTCTCTGAAGCCTCTGCATCCAATCTAAGCTGTGGCTTTTGGTGTCTGCTCCTCTTTTTCTCCTTAAAGTTTGCTTTGCGATGGATCAGGTTTATCTTAACAGCACAAAAAGACTGCAGGGCATTCAGTTCTTCATCAGATACCCGAGTGGTTTCTGTTCGAAGTTTAGTGCCTGATTGGTATTGTCCAGAGTTAGTTTCTTTGCCCTTGTGATAGTTGATCCATTTACTACTGAACTTGTTTTCATTATTTTGGTAGTCTGAAAGCTCAGATTGTTTGCCTCGATACTCCAAGTGCATAGTCCTTCCATTCCCAGAGGCATGGGACCAGGGCGGCAGTCCTCCAGAGGAGCTGAAAGAACTGGAACTCTGTACCTCATCAGTCAGCATCTCGTCAGAAAGGTCTGCCATAGCCCTGATGTCCGTTTGGGCCAGTTCCCCTTGCTCTCGTCAATCCCCAGGCTTCCAGGCGAATGGCTATCACTTTGCATCAGACTTGGCTCCTCATCTGCTCTGCCCTGATTAAGACAGGCTTAGGAACTGGTCCCGCCGGAGTCCACAGGGGTCGGTCCCGGAGCAGGCGGCTCCGCAAGGATCCTCTTCCGGGCTACGCCTTCCCGGCTGCCTTGGCAACGAGGGCGGTCATGCGCAGTGGGTGTCAGCGCTGAGCTCCTCCTCTTTCCCCGCCCTCTCCAGCTCAGACTGCCTGAGCAGGCGTGGATCACGCTGGGTTTGCAAAGCGGAGGCTCCGTTTGCTCTGTAGCGACTCTTCCTTGGTGCTGTTTTAAGTACAAAATCTTTCAATCCTTGAGAGAAGCTAGCAAACTGTTTTTCTTCAGGGGTCTCACAAGTGTACATGTGTGAGGCTAGTGGGCATAGGCAGGTTCTAATTCAAGAATGTATGCCCCGCCCCTCCCCCCCAAAAAGCTGGCCAAGAAGCGCAGGCAAAAACACATCTGCAGATCATATAGCCAGACCACCTATTTGTAGACCATGTCTTAGAATTGATATCGAACGACTGAAACCATCCCACAAGACTCCTCCCTGCACATCTTGCACAACTTTCTGTGCTCCAGGATTGGGACGACCTTCTGTGCTCGGATTTTTCCAAACACAGGTTTTCAGGTCTTTGGTTCAGGCAGTTCCCCTCAAACTGGCACGTCAACACACCCCTCCTCTTTATATGATTTATTACTGTTTCTCCTTCAAGTCCCATTTTCTCAGGAAGGACTTCATACCCACCCTGCCCCAAACTCTTTACAGCCTTTATTTCATGGTTTGCAGCTATATGATGATGCCCCCTCACCCCATCACCCCACTAGATTAAAAACTACTTGAGGGCAGAAACTAAGCCTGTGTTGCCCAGTACTCACCAGGTACCTGACACGTTAGAAGGCATTGGATAAATCTGTTAAATAAATGCATTGAATGACTGTGAAAACAGAAATAAAGATAACCTCACACAGATCTAGTGTACTACCAGCTCAAGGAACTCCAATCTTTATCTTTCTGAACCGCCCACCCCAATTTACTCTTCTACCCATGACATATCCCTTAAAGAGAGCCTTTTTAAAAACATGGTAGAATTTTGTTAATAACTGTTCTCATGAATTATAATATGTTGACTCTGAAGATTGGCTTTTTCTAGGTCTTAATAAATATATGAGCCTAGGTCTTAGGATCTGAGATAATTTCAAGAGAATGGGCTCCTTAGGTCAGCCCCCTAGCCCCCATGTTGTTAGTCAAGTCTAACCAGATATATTTAATGTTATCCCAAAAAATGTTCATCTTTTTAGGAGCAAAAGGTCAGAAGTCTGAAATATTCGAAAAGCATCTTTCAACTATGAACCATCTTCACACTGATGATGAAGAGATTGCAACTTCCTGGATTCAACCCAGATAATATTTTATCATATAATATTAGCCTTCAAAAAGAGGTAGCAGATAATTTGTGGATAGCCGAGTGATTTCCAGCATCTTAAGGGCTCAAGATTTTCATTTTTAATTTTTATTTTAAAAACCTACCTTATTCTCTGAATATTTATATGTAATTCATTATAACCCATATTTTCCCCAAAAATATTGATCAAAAGAGCTATACTTTATTATAAAGTATATTCATATCATCCAGTAAGCTATTTTTAATAACATTATCCTAGAAGCAGATGCATTTGGGGAGAATGTTCTGTTATCAACCATTTTTTTGGTAATAATCAGCATGACCCAACAAATTGTTTAATACTCTAACATGGGTGTTTTCCAAGGTACAGTCAGTCACATTCCTTCTAGGGTCCTGACAAAATTGAAGGTTAGGGGAACTTGTCAAAACCTCTGCTGGCTACCTTGGACACCCATGGTACTTTGGCTTCCTCCTGTAGACTGGCTCTTTTTCTTTCAAAAGCATGTGTGAGAAGTGCCAGAGAGAAGGTGCTTTGGCACCCACAGTGTAGCACACCGTCAGTCAGGTGACTTCCTCTGGCAACATTTTCCTCCAGAAACCTCATGCATCTCTTAGGGGCTGATGGGAATGTTGGGGTCCTTTACAGACGGAATTGTGGCTGAAGACTGCCTGGAGTGGCGGGATGGGAGGAACAGGAAGTAAAGAGAGAAATTAGGTGTTCCTGGCCTAACCATGTGATGGCACGACTTTTATTGCCTTACAAACACTGTCTCTTCCTTCCAAGTTCTTAATGGGGAGCAGGGCAAAGCTCTTTTTCCAGCTTTTCCTCAACAATCAAATGTGCTTTACAGCTATGGGGCTTAATCCCAGAGAGAGGAGGTCAAAATAAATTAGTCTTCCTGTCTGGTTCCCTTTCTCTCTTCTTTCTCTTTTCTTGGAGGGAGAAGGACACACTTTCAGTTTCTTCCTGTCTGACAAACACTTTTCCCCTCAGGTATCATAGCTCCTTCCTTCCCAGGTGGCCTTTAGCCTGTACCCCTTCCTGGAGCCCTTGTGGTGTTCATGGTACCAGGAGGGAATCTAGTGTATGAATAAGGGAAATTAAGTTGACAAATCTTTCAACAATATTCTACCCTTTACATAAACTTCACAGCACTGTACTTGGTTCTGTGGATCAAACAAAATGAAATATTATTTCTTCTCCTAAGGGTCTAAGATGAATTGTGTCAGAAATCTCACTGTGAGAAACGATGTTTGCAGAGTAAAGAATCTTACATCACTCATGTTAAAATAATTATTTCAACTTACAGGACAGTACTGGTTCTTCATTTCTTTAAGGTGTTTTTCCCTCACACATATCTCAATTTTTCCATTCTTGTTTCCTGTGTGTCTTCTATAATTTTTCTAAAATTGATTGCCTTATGCAGAGTTGCCTTTTACTTTAATAATTATTGTTTTGCAAAGGTAATATATGTTTTTTGTACTTTAAAAGATAAGGATAAGCCACTAATATTGATTTTTAAGTAAGTTACCTGAATTCTGATCCCCCAAAGATTATACCACGAACACTTATAAAACATTTTCTATTTTTCCTTGAATAATTTTTTGTTAATAAAATCTAGATGATATTTTGTTTTATAAGCTATTTTCTTCAATTAGTAATAATATGGCTTTTCCATTTTAATTTGTAAAAATTCTTTTTCAACATAATTTCAACATATTTGATTTATTTAACTAAATTATTTAGGCACAAGGTATTTCCAGGTTTTTTTGCTCCTAAAAATTATCAGGATAAATATTTCTCTAGTTAAATCTTTATATGCATTCATAGCTATACATTTATGATAAATTCCAGAAATTACAATTGATGGTCAAATGCATGTCCGGTTTGAAGGCTTTTAAGATATCTGTTCTTCCCTTCCACATTTTACCCCCTGCTGTAGTATGTAAAACCCAACATATAATATTATTTTATCCATAAATACTTCAGTTTATAACTCCAGTAGGTAAGGCCTTTCTAAAAATATAATGACATGATGATTATCACATCTAAAACATACTAATTCCTTAATATCATCTAATAATTATCCTGTATTCAAATTTCTCTGTGTCAAAAATGCCTTTTTGCAAGTTGCAGTGCTTATAGTGAGGTCTGTTCACTGCATTTGGCTGATTCAGCTCTCAAGGCTCTTTTACTCCACAAATTCTTCCCAAGTACAAATAATTTTAAAAAAGGAAAAAGAAAAGAGCTGACACATTTAGCTTTCTTCTCTGTATCTACTATTATGTTCCCTATAGACAAGCATTAAAGTTTTTTATTTATTCTTTTGAGTTTCTTTTTGAAATTGTACATCAGTACACATTTGTACACAGTTTCTTACAAGAAAGTATATATTCCACATACTCTACACATTGCTTTACACTTTCTTTTTGCTTTTTTTTTTTTAAGATTTATTTATTTATTTGAGAGAGAGAATGAGAGGGGGGAGGGTCAGGGGGAGAAGCAGACTCCCTGCCAAGCAGGGAGTCCCGACGCAGGACTCAATCCCGGGACTCCAGGATCATGACCTGAGCTGAAGGTAGTCGATCAACCAACTGAGCCACCCAGGTGCCCTCTTTTTGCTTTTTTCTTAAGAACGTTTCTGGACTATCACTTCCCTTCAACCAATACACATCTTCCTAGTTTCCCTTTACAGCTGCATTGTATTGTGGGAATGTACCAGAGTCATTCCCACATTTTGATGAGCATTGTGGTCTTATATGGAATCAAATTTTTCTTAGTATTTGGGGAGGTATATCTCCAATAAGATTTCTGGGACTAAAAATAAATAAAAAATCTTGTGGAAAAATGGGTAAAATGAATAGACAGTGCACAAAAAAATAACTATAAAGGGCCCTTATCCACATAAAATGGTGTTCAATCTCATAATAATGAGAATTCAATTTAAAATTACACTGAGATACCATTTCTCATCCATTAGATTCATAAAAATTCATAAATCTGAATACATAGCCTGATGGCTAGGCTCTTGGGAATCATTGTTCTTATACATTGCTGGCAGGAATGCAAAATATATATATATATTGCACTTAAAATCACTTTAATATTGGAAGTATTAGCCATTTGTCTGAGATTGTCCCAAATGATTTTCCCACTTTGTCTTTTTATTTGCTTATGCTGTTTGCCGTGCACAAGTTGGATTTTTTTATTTCATTATAGCAAATTTATCCATCTGTTTCCTTAGTGTTCTAGAATTCTTAATCATATTTAGAAAAATTTTGTCTACTCCCATATTATACATAAACTCACTCATGTTTTCTTATAGTATTTGTGATTCTTTTTCTTCTCTGTGTTAACATTCTAATCCTTTTATAGTTTCTTCTCTAATATGAAGAATGAACCTAATTTTATATTTTTCTGTATGGCTATCCAGTGATCCCAACCATACTTCCCAAAATGTTCTTTGTTACCCCCACTGCTTTTAGATGCTGACTTTATCATAAATTCCCATACCCACTTAGTTTTTGTTTT